ACACACACACACACACACACACACACACACACACACACACACACACACACACACACACACACACACACACACACAGGAATTAAATCACCATTTGTTGTGGCGTACTCAGGCCAGACCCGCTCGGAGAAAGAGACTGAACTGAAGAACGGTTTGGACTCCAGGTCTACAACTCCCGCCTCACCCTCTAGGACTCACAGCAGGTCAGACACACACAGGAACTACACAGGACCAGGTGACACACACATGTTTTTACATGTAATACAGCAGCATTGCGCACGCACGCATGCACGCACACACACACACAAACGTTCGCCCAGCTATACATTTGGGGACATTCCATTGACTTCCATTACATTTCTACAGCCTAACCCTGACCACAAACCCTAAGGCTAACCTCACAGGTACCTACCTGACCCTAAAACTAACCTCAACTAAATTCACACCTAGGTCCTAAACCCAACCCCCAACCCACCAATGGCATTTAAATTGTCCCCAAATGCACCAGTTGTCCCCAAATACAGRCGTTTTGTCTTAAAATTGCCCCCAAAGGTCACCAAAAACAAACCCAAACACATGCACACACAATGTACTCTGCAGAACACCAGCTTATTTATTACACATGGTAGAAATGCCAGGCAGTTTTGGCAGCCAGACATATTACCTCTGAGCAGAGCCAGAGAGATTGGAGAGTAATGACCAAGAGAACAAGACCTGCTGACCCGGGCTGCAACACGATTAGCTGCTAAGCTAAGCAAGCCAGGGAGCAGGACAAACAACAAGCTGAAAATGAAATCTCAGATGAAACAAAGCGAGGCCTGTGATCAGGGACAATAATCTACAACAAATATATGGTAGCATTTACTGCAGACGGTACCATAGTCCGTAAGATAACACAGACTACGACTTGCTTATTGCCTTCCAACGATAAGAAGAATGAACTGTGATCTCCTTAGATAAAGATTTTATGGGGGATAAGMATTATTGCAGTTTTGTAAGTGTTCTAGAAAGAGTCGACACTCAGAAATGGTTGAAAAGCTACCGGTTGCCCGTTTAATCCATGTTTGTTGAGATAAGCCGTGTAAATAGTAGTCGAACATTTGACAGGATTTGTAGAAAGGGTCTTGAGCACTCGGCCCATTCCTCTGTAGCTTAGTGTCATGGTGACAGCTGGCTGGGAGAGGTCAGGAGGTGGCAGAGCTGCTGTGCCCTAAACAACTGCCAGTCTCTACTCTCACTACACGCAAATACACGGTGGAGGCATCAGCTCAGCTCAGCTCCCCACTGTTGTCAAAATAGATACAGTCCAGTGCTGGGAGATTTCTTTTTTTATGTTCTACTGCAGATAAAAATGGGGCTGTTGTCACTTTAAGTAGATGACAGCTTGGCCCTTGAGAGGCCAGCTTTGCACCGCTGCTACACAATTACAGGTACTAGGACCTGTGTAGCACCACTTTAAGTGCGCTCTCAGGCTAGCTTGTCAATTGTGTGCGGAGAGATATTTGCCTGTTGTTATCAGCAGTGGGAAAATGGACTTGAAATACTGATGAGCATTAAATACAGAGGAAAAGCAGGAGATTCACGTAGAAACAATCCTTGACTAGTCATATTCAAAGGGTCGGCAATTTGTCYGAGCTGACAGCACGGCCCAAGCCCTGACTTTTTGATTAAGAAGACACTCAGACAAGTTCTRTCAGCTTGTCTGGGCCAGAAAATGATATTTCCACTTAACTGAGCTGTTGCACAATGCCTCCGTCTTTGTTAATTTGAGGCAGGTTCAGAGTAGATTTCTAATTGGCATTTGGAGTTATCAGTATCGATCTGAGTAAAGCCAAAGAGCCGTCTAAAAAGACACATTACTCTGATTAACCTTGTCAGCCACAGCTGTCAGGCTGGCAATCCTAAAACAATAAACTTGTTTTAGCATAAAAAACAGGACCTTCTTGCTTCTTGCACGTCTTAAACACAGTAACTTTCCATTTACATAAGTGGGTCTGACAGCCAAAAGGCTTACACCCTGAAATTATTACGCTGCAGTCCAGTCACTCGTGACAGATTGAGGATACAAAAGCACCAATGGCTGGGAGAGTCAGTTTCACTGCACGCCTCGACCAGTTCAGACCGTCTGTCGGCTGATCACATTTGCCTTGGCACCGAACATGTTAGATACTTTACTTTAAGCAACGTACTCCTCAAAGTACAATCTGTAACTACAGGTAACGGCCAACTCTGATTCATGCTAACATGTCAGCCCCAAACCCTGTCCAGCTTTGGGAAACAAGAACCATATGATGCTAATTAGGAACTGACATCACCCAGCAGAAAACTGGCCGTTTGCATCTACTTACTGCCATGGCTGACAGACAGCAGGGATGGGGGGACGGGCTGGGGGAGTCAGATAGCATTGCCACATCAGTCCATCTAAGCTGCGCCGATGTGTGCATTCTAAAACCTGAATTATGTCCCTGCTTGGTAATGAAAAAGGCACAGTTAGAGGAATGTGTTTCCTCGTGGTGGAATAAATCTCCTGGCAGGGGAATAATATCCCTGCGTGCATCCAATAATCCACCTCAACCTTGCCTGTTAACCACTCCCGATCTTCTCCTCCTCCTCCCCCCCGTCTGAGCTGTAAGATGGGTGGTGGGGGGAGACGACTGAAAGGATGGGGCCCTCACTGTTTGCTCACAAACACACCGTTCAGCAGGTTAGAGCCCCACTGATGAATTATTCAAGTGCTTCCATCAGCTCTGTTGAGGTTCCTGATAAAAGTCAGGCGCTAAAATGGATCAGTCGATTAACCTGTTTACACAAAGCTGGACTGTTGCCCCTCCTCCCCAGCTCTATTCTGCTCCTTGTCTCCGCCCCCCTCCCCCAGCCCCCTTCTCTCTTCCCTCTGGTTGGCGATAAGTGCCTGACAGAAGCTATCAAAGGGGCCTGAGGCCTGACAGACATGTGGCAGTGCGACACACGGCCCAGACACTGATGGATCACCCCACCACATCGATGCTGTCATTAACCGAGTGAGGCAGTCACAGTGGAAGAGACGGACCTAATGCTTWAAAAGCAGCATGTGGCGGAATCTAAGGATTACTCATTCATGCCGTCGTTATTTTTATTACTAAGATTGATCTGTGAAGCAATAGAAGATAGAAGCCTTTGATAAAGATAAGGGCTTTGCAAATGGCTAAATGACTTTTGCTCTGCCTTTGTAATTAYAGTCACTCTAAGGAAGAAACACTGACCTATCAGCAATTCTGTCATTTCTAATCATTAAAGACAGTGCTTGTCAAAGTCTACCTTTAATCTTATCAAAACATGGAGTCAAATCACAGCATTATGACTTGTTTTATGCCAGAGAACAAAATGTTAAAATGATGACACAGTTTGAGTTATCTTGTGTTAATACTCCTGTCTGTACGCAGCTCTCCCTGCCTTTTATTTGCCCCGACACGGAAATGTCAACAGAGCTGAAAACTCTGAGGAAAAAGAAGATACATACCTGTTTGTGCATCTCTATGTTCAGCCCGTAGGACATCTCATAATACTGCAAGAAAAGAAAAAAAAAACATTAATGCAAGCACGTGGTGTCCTCATGATTCTCCATCCAGCCACAAATCAATGTGATCGATCCCTGCACTAATCAGATTATCACACAGTTTTGGATATTAGGATAAAAAAAACAAAAACATGAAAGGTGATGAACTAAGATCAGACCAGAAAAAGACTTCTGTGAGTAGCCGACAGCGAGCAGCCGATAAATCAATTTTTTTGCTGTTTGTAGAGTAGGCGCAGAGAAGAAAGGGTCAGATGTATCGATCACTATCTTAAGCCCTCAGATCTCCATGATGTCTGTTTACTTAGCGTAACGCAATTGCTCAACACTCTTGATATTTCCAGCCAGGTCAGTATGTCTGGCTGAAATGTAATCCGCGGAGTCCACAATTGGCAGCCGGGGCAGAAATGGCTTTCCAGTCAGCGTCTATTTGATGAGGCCAATGCATTATTCAGTCCATTAGCTTCTTCGAAAATTACTCTCAAACAAGAGAGCCATTCTGTCTGAGATCAGAGCCCTACAGCCATGGTGTAACCTGACACCCAGGGCTGGCTGTGGGATACTTCCCTACATGTTTACCTAACTTCCTCCTTGTCAGGCTGACATGTTGTTTTCTAATGAAAATACTTTAAAAAAAATTTAATTTGAACCTGCACGTATTGGTTTAAATCACCCCTGGTGTGTTTACTCAGGACAAGAGAGTACACTTCCCCCAGAAAAAGGCTGCTCATTGCGTCATGTCTGGACTCATTTCATGCGTCAGTGGCACACCTATGTTTTTCTTCAAGGCCGCTAAAATAAAAGCTAATAATTAGGGATTATAAAAATGCAAAAAAAAAAAAAATCTATAACTGTAGCCTCTCTGTCCTCCATCTTGTTTACAGTGGTGCACTTTCCCACACACACACACACACACACACATAGAGCCCCAGGCCCTCCACCAGCAGCTCACGCCTAATTTATGGCGGTGCATATGTCTGAGCGCAGAGTCTCTAAGGAGAATAATCAGATCAGCACACACAGAGGGCAAAGCTGCAGTCAGCCCTTGGAGATCAGGGGCGGGTTATATTGGAGCCCACTGCCTCCCCTGCCTGTCAGAAAGAGCTCCTCTGTAACAACCAGCTGCACCAACCTACACCCCCCCTCAAGGGCTTTCACAGGCCCGTACCTGACACTCAGCCCGCCCTAACCACCACATAGGTGATCACAATAGCCCTGTGTCACTCCACCCAAACTAGATCTTCAACAAGCCTTGCAATTTGGTGCCATAATTGCTCCCCATTGTAACGTGATCTTACCATGACATAGTGGCGCTGCATCTCAGTTTTCTCATTGGCCAGTTTGTCGTACTCCACCTTGAGGCTAAACCAGAAGCACAAAAGGTGTCATTTTCAAACATCAACACCACTTGGACAACTCATTCACACCTCAACTGAAGAATCAAGACGGGTATTTTGGCATTCCTGGAGTAACATTTACCAACCCATACAGCAAATGGAGACACATCTATAATCATTACCTGTGATACTGGGCTTGCAGGAACTGAAACTCGTCTTTGATTCTGTCACAAGACTCTGCTACAGTAAATTTGAAGCCGGGCTGGCCAGGTTGATGCGGAGCCTAAAAAAAAACACACAAAGGTGGTCAAAAGCAGAAAAACTATTCACCTGTTTGAAAGTTTCATTCATTATTTTCCACACTCATGCTGTTGAGTAGATCCCATACTTCTACGATAATGTTTCCTCTGCAGKAAAGACATAACCAAAGCAAAGAGGTGGGTCTCCTACTTCACACCTCCAGCTGCTAATAACACCACACCAATAGACTTTCACACTGAATATGAATTCTCATTTAGGAAGTAGATGGGGGGAAAGGAATTTAAACCACCACCTGTCCTTATATTCCGCAGAATCGTTTGAGTAAATATCTCCAGGCGTGCTAACCATCTGCATTCATTTAGGAGCATATTCTCATGGAGCATGAAGTAGTATAGAAAACTGAATGACCTGCGTTGAGGGTGGGAGAGGGATTTTTTTTTTTCAAGGGGAGTGTTCTGGAGACAGGAACCTACACACACGCCTCAATATTATGATAAAGGAGGCACGTCTTACCGGATGTCGGCCTTGTGGATACATCTTGCAATGTATCCTTTGTTTATTTCTCCAGTGTGCAGGTCCTTTGGCAAAATGGTTGAAATTTGCTCACAGCAGCAGCAGCCTCAGCAGACAGGAGCAGGAGGGTGG